CAAAATATCAAATGGGAAGCAGATGCCCACTTCAATTCATGGTGCTGGAAAAAATGGATACGTAGCTGCAGAAAAATGAAGCAAGACCCTTACCTCACTCCATACACAAGAATAAACTCAAGGTGGTTCACAGAACTTGAGGTAAGACCCCAAACTATTAGGGCCATAAATGAGTGAATTGGGACAAACCTGAGAACCTTGGCACAGGAATTATATAGGCTATTGGAAATCTGGAAGGACACAAACACAGAGGAGGCACAAATTGACCAGTGGGATATACCAAAATAAAACACGTATATACATTGAAAGAATTCACCAAGAGAGTAATAAGAGAGACCACAGAATGGGAAAATATCTTTAGCAATGACATATCAGACAAAGGTCTTATTACTAAAATCTACAATACTCTGCTAACTTACAACAAGAAAAAAAACACAAAAACAATTGTCCACTCAGGAGATGAGCAAAGGACCTGAGCATGAGTTTCTCAAGGGCAGAAATCCAAATGGCCAATAAATATATGAGAAAATGTTCCAGATTTCTAGTCATAAGAGAAATGCAAAACTAAAACAACTATGAGATACCACCTAGCACCCTTAAAGATAGTCCAATTCAAGAAATCAGAAAGTAACAAGTGTTGGAGGGGATGCGGAGAGATAGAAACTCTTGTCCACTGCTGGGGACCTGTAGGTATGTACAACCATTATGGAAATTGATATGGTGATATCTAAAACCGTTGGAAATTGAGCTACCATATGATCCAGCAACCCCCCTACTGGGCATATACCCAGAAGAGACAAAAAACAAACCACGGCCAGACATCTGTGCCTCAATGTTCATCACGGCACAGTTCACAATTGCAAGGAGTTGGAAACAGCCCAAATTTCCACCAACAGACAAATGGATTAAAAAACTCATACATATATACAATGGAGTATTACACATCCCTAAAAAGCAGTGATGAACGCATGAAGCACGTTGCTGCATAGGAAGAACTGGAGGAAATATGCTAAGTGAAGTAAGACAAACACAAAAGGACAAGTACTACATGAGTCTGCTGAGGTAAGCTCAAAAAATTCAAAAGGAGCATAGGGAAGAAGCAACTTTATACATACGTCCCTGGGGTGAGGTCCAGGTAATATGGCAGGGGCCAGACTAATCTCAGGGATGCATATGGGATACATATGGTAGCCCAATAAAAAGGAAGGTGTGGGGGGGGGGGGCGGAACATGGGTAGCCGGGGGAACAGGGCATTAATCCTCACAGGGGGAGGGTGTTGATTGTGTCTCCACAGGGAAACAGGGACCAGACTTCAACCTGGTGCTCCAAGACAAAAATGCAACACACTCACATGAAGCAGGGAACTGATAGAGAGGCCTGAGGGGCTGGCCCCATTACCACTTCGTGGACAGCACCACCCTCCCCCTCAGAAGAATTCACTTCAGAGGACAGCACTGAAGCTACGGCTCAAGAAGAGGGACTTGTCTGATCAGAGCACACAGGAGCCAACGAAGGGGGAAGGGAGAAAAAAAAAAGAGTGAAGCACATCCTGGCTCACCAAGCCCTGAGGACAATGTTTCTGCTCAGAGCAGCAATGCACAGAGATGACCATAAGGGCCGGCCTCACCACGGGGCTCATTGACCCATAGCACCATTGGCAACAACACTATGGACACACGGCAGGAGTTTTGCCCACCCTGAGTCCACTAGGCTGAAGCGAGCCTCTGGGGGCATGCAGCAGAGCAGCAGGGGGAACCGAGCAATGAAGTCCCCAGGCATAGATGTGTGGCCAGGGCATGGCACCCAATCAGACTCAACTGGAAAACACTCATGAAGGATAACAAATAGACCCTGAAGTATTTATAGGGTTTTCTTTGTGTGTGTTGTTGTAGCTATTGTTTTACTTTCTATTGTTGCTTTGTTGTACTCAGTCTTGTGATGGTATATAGCATGTCGACCTGGAAGGTATAGGCAGGATAAACAAGCCAGAAGAGAGAACAATGGGATGACAGTTCCAGGGGGACATGGGAGAGGGGGAGGCAGGGGAAAGGAAGTGGGTGTTAACAAACTCAGGGACAAGGGAACAACAAGTGATCCAAAATCAATGGCAAAGAGGGTGTGAGGGGTCTGGCAGGGCTGGATCAAGGGCAGTGTAACCAAGAGGAGTTCCTGAAATCCAAGTGAAGGCTGAACATGATAGCAGGACAAGAGGAAAGTACAAAGAAATAGAGGAAAGAACTAGGAGGCAAAACGCAGTTATAGAGATCTGAATACAGGCATATACAGATGTAAATACATTAATATATGATGAGGAGGAAATAGATTTATTTACATATATTTATAGGTTTAGTATTAAGGAAAAAGATGGACAGTGGGCCCCTATTCAAGTACTCCCTCAACACAAGAACACTTTGTTCTAACAATTTGGCAGTCTGAGATGCTCACCTTCCTGGCATGATCGCTGATGACAACGGTTGCACAAGCAAATGTGGTGAAGAAAGGTGATGGTGCCCAGCTACCAAAAGATATAGCATCTGAGGTCTCAAAGGTCTGAAGATAAACAAGCAACCATGTAGCTGACAAACAACAAAACCCACATGGAAGAAGCACACCAGCCTGTCCCGACTCCATCACTGAGGACAAAGTGGGTGCATAAGCTAATGTGGTGAAGAAAGATGATGGTGCCCAGCTATCAAAAGATATAGCATCTGGGGTCTTAAAGATTTGAAGCTAAACAGGCGGCCATCTAGCTGAGAAACAACAAAGCCCACATGAAAGAAGCACACCAGCCTGTGAGATCACAAGGCATCTAAGGGATCAGGTATCAGGCATCAAAGACCAAAAAAACAAAAATCATAGCCTTGTGAATGAGGGGGAGTGCGGAGTGGGGACCCAGGACCCATCTGTGGGAAATTGGACATCCCCTTGCAGAAGGGCCACGGGGAGGAGAGAAGCCAGTCAGGGTGCAGTGTAGCAATGATGAAACCTACAACTTTCCTCTAGTTCTTGAATGCTTCCTCCGCCCCGCCCCGCACTATAATTATCCCAATTCTACCTTACAAATCTGGCTGGACTGGAGGATGTACCCTGGTACAGGTACGACCTGGAAACACAGGGAATCCAGGACAGATCAACCCCTCAGGACCAGTGGTGAGGGTGGCGATACTGGGAGGGTGGAGGGAAGGTGAGGGAGAAAGGGGAACCGTTTACAGGGATCTACAAATATCCTCCCCCTTGGGGGACGGACAGCAGAGAAGTGGGTGAAGGGAGATGTCGAATGGTGTAAGATATGACAAAATAATAATAATTTATAAATTATCAAGGGTTCATGGGGGGTGGGGGCGGGGAGGGAGGGGAAAATGAGGAACTGATGCCAAGGGCTCAAGTAGAAAGCAAATATTTTGAGAATGATGATGGCAACATATGTACAAATGTGCTTGACACAATGGATGGATGGATTGTGATAAGAGTTGTACGAGCCCCCAATAAAATGATTTTTTTTAAAAGCAAGACAAAATAAAAGTAGAATTCTGACCCCAAAAAAGAGGTACCGTCTCAGGAAGAAACCCACAGGAGCAGTTCTCCTCTGCCCTAGAGAGCTCCCCTGAGTTCGCCTTGACCAGTGGCAACGGGTTTGGTGTGCTGTTTTGAGTAGACTAGAGGGGATTTGAGTCTCTGGGTCCTCTCCGTGGGAGAATGGAGGAGAGCCCTAGAAGACCTCCAGATGTCTCAAAGTGGAGATTTCTTCATTTTGTTTGGTGGAGATTCAGTTCAATTTAATTGAGGGGAAAAGAAAAGTTCATAAAACAATCTCTCTACTACCCAATTATTGGACTAAACTGAAATTCATATGTAGTGCATAGTTAGTTAAAGTTACATGAACTACAGTGTTTTAAAGAATGTGAGCAACTTATTCTGAATACAAGTTAATTTTATGTGCACAATGTACTTTCTTTTTCTTAATTTTCTTTAGACATCCTCTATGAGAATTTGCACCCAGAGGTAATTCTCACTTACTTAGTTTATCAGATCTTGCCCAAACAAGGGTAGCCATAGCCAGATTAGAAAATATGTAATAATTAATCCTGGTTCCTGTGCTTTATCGAACCATCTGATTAATGGTGACATAATAAAAAAGGCATGAAGCCAAAACAAGTCTGCTTTGCTAATAAAATTCCTACATCTGATTCAGTGCTTATGGTCTCTGGAATTGCTTCTTTTTATTCAAAACAAAAATATAAAAAAATTATATAGATATATAATTATATATCTTTCTCTAATCATTAACATAGAAAATAATTTACATACCCCCACCCTGCTCAGAAATGAAAATTAAAACAGATCAGAGATGAAAAGCTGCATGGGGTTAAAATGAAAGACAAAAAAGTTTTCGTTTTTTTGGTTGCTTTTAATGGACAGAGGGAATGAGGGAGGAGAGAGGGAAAGAGGGAAGGGTGAAAGTACAGGAATGGACCATAGGCTCCCTAACTTATTGGGCCCACCATTCCCTTTTCCAAAAAAAAATTACTCAGCTCCCCTTTGGCAATTAAAATCTTTTGTACTATAGCCTATAATCCAGGCAGGATACAGTGTAGGCATGTGCTTTTTTCTGTCCCTGTCACTTCCAGAGCCACCCAGCAGGACAGTATTGCCCACTTTGGAAAACACTGGCAGACCTTCCACGGAAGAACTATTTGTTGAATAAAGCATCATGTCTAAGGTTTTCTCCATTTAAAAAGGGGCTGGAGATAAATTGTGTTTGATTAAAGGAGTCTTATAAAGTTCTTAGAATGACTTTGACAACAAAATCATGGTGCTAAGAATATCAGTAACATTTGAACATCAGCTCCCTAGATATTCAATGATAATCACATTGAAATGAGCTACTTCTCTGTTCATTAAAGCTAAGAATCAGCCTTCAAAGCCAGCAAGGTTCTGTGCTGCGTGGATGCTGAGGTGTGCTGTGCCTCCTTACCATGCATAGCAATACTTGGACCTACCTGGCTGCAATCCGGCCAAGCTCTAGCAAACAGAGGCATACTTCTCTGGGTTGCTTGTGAAGAACTGAAAGAGAAGACAGATGGAAGACTTTTGTAATATACAGGATTGTCATGCAGCTCAATCGTAAAGAGGCCTGTGGTTGCTGCCCATCCCTCATGCTCTCAGTGCAGGAACTACACGTTTCCAGCTTGACATTCACAGAAACCATCCCGTAACCACAGTGCCAGAGTGCCACAAAAGTCTTCAAGTACCTTCCGGACTCGTGTGCCCTGTCTTTCCCGAAACTGTTAGTCTAAGGATGTCTCACTCAAGGAAATGTTCACCCTGGAAAGGTTTTCTTCAATTAGTTCATAGTAGTAAGTCAATGTTGGGAACGCATGCAGCTCTCATTGTGATCCAAATAGTTGACAGGTATTTGAAAATACACAGCACACAAAGTCCAAAAAGAAAAGACAGGTTTTTAATCATCCTGGATCTACCTTTTCTAATGATTTTAGCAGTAATGATTCAACAAATATGAATAAGTGTTACATACATGTCTTTTCTTTTCCTCCATATAATTATATCAAATGAGTCCCTGAAACTTGATAACCTCTAATAGTCGAATCTAATTAAATGATACTTTAGAAAGAAAATAATCTTTGATTGAATGGATTTTGTCAATCTGTCACCAATCTATCTCAGTCAGCTTTGTCTATCAAATGAGAAAATTAGAAGACTGTGTGGTGCATTTATATTTCTAATGTAATTATATAAATATATCATTTTATAAATATGTTTTACTGATCGCTTTGAACATGATCATAATGCTGGCAAATCAGGCTGTGTGTTGAGTCTGTGAGTAGTACACACTGTTTATGCTACTCTTTTTGAAAAAAAAAGCGATGTTATTAGAAAAAATATCTAATACATGCAACAGATATTAGAAAGCATTACATTGAGAACAGTCTTTGCAAAAAAACCCACTGCCATTGAATCAAATCCAACTCACAGCTAACTTATATAGGGTTTTCAAGACTAAGTCCTCATAGGAACAGAGTCTCATCTTTCTCCCCTGGAACAGGTGGTGGGTTTGACCGGCCAACCTCGTGGTTAGCAGTCCAATGCTGACCTGACAGTGCCACATGATTAAGATCCTGATAAATGGAGATATACGCTTGTTGGTAAATTTAAAGAAACAATAGAAATAGTGCTTTGATTCTTAAACATATAATTTTAAAATGATTCAATTTTCCAAAATTGTACTATTCCATTAATTTAGACATTATATCCCACCTCTCTGCAGATTGTGGTAATCCCAATATTTAACCTACTTACACTACAATAGAATCCTTTGAGGATGTGTGGTAAATTGGCTTTTTACTTGGACCTTAAAAGTATGTGATTTTATTTGTTTTAAACAGATTTATAGTTTTATTATTTGGTTAAAATAAAAATTTTAAGTTTGGGTAATAAATAATAATCTCATCAGCCATGCTCATTAAAATTAAATTGACTATGAAAAGTTCCCTATTTCCATTCTTGGAAAGAAAAATGTTCATTTCATCTGATTTTCAGTGAATTGTCTCAAAACCCTGGTTTGGGGAGCTTCAAATTACTTCTAATGAAAGGAGCTTAAAATGAAGATACTGAACGACCTCCCATTTAAACTGTGCCATTGGTTGACACAGGACAACCTGGTGGTGCAGTAGTTAAGTGCTCCCTGCTAATCCCTACAACCCCATCAGAGCAAACTCTAGGAAAAGGAGCGGCCGTCTGCATCCGTAAAGATGGCAGCCTCAGAAACACCATAGGGCAGACTGACTGCTCTATTTTGTGGCTGTGAGGCACATTGGACTCCAGGGCACTTTGTTGTTCATTTATCTTACTTGTATTTTTTTTCCAGTTGTACAAACTTCACAACTTTTGATACATTAAGTCAGCTCAGTACAATGCAACATGCGGACGATCAAACCACACAAGGCATTCGTTTCAAGCAGAACAATACTAAATGAAACAAATAACGTACAATAAACACAAACAAAAGAATGAAAATCCAGTCTGGAAAATCAATTTCTTCTGATTTGGATTGTTATTTTTTTCCTATCCATGGTACAAAAATAACAAGCAAGAACTTTGGGAAGAGAAGTGACCACAGGTAATCCTAGGGCTATGTTACCGCCCAATTTATATCCTTATCTTAAAAGGAAAGTGGCCGGAGGCCAGTGGCTGAAGATCCAGCAGATTTGGATAAAATGTCATATATTTCTAGATGGAAATGGTATAAACACAAGAAAAATGTTCAGATATCGTGGATGTGCAATCAATAACCAACTATAAAAAGTAATATCTGATATGAATTTTTAAGCTTGTATTATCAAAAAATAATCTCATCAGCACTGTCATTAAAATAAAATGGACTCCAGAAAGTTCACTATTTCCATTCTTGGAAAGAAAAATTTTAATATCATCTGATTTTCAGTGAATTGTCTCAACTTTGACCAACTTCTTGTATATATTCTGAGGACCATATCACCCTTGGTATCTAAATACGTAAACTTGGCTCCCAAAAATGATAACTCAAATTTATTCTGAAGGAAGAAAATGATGGGAGGTGCTTCCTATGTTACCCACAACTGAATTTTCTATTTTCAGAAAACAGAAAAATCAGATGTGAGTAATAATAGGATAGATAATGTGATGTTCAGATTGAATCATGATTTCCGATTGATTTCATTTTCTCAAGTTAACAATCAGTTTAAAACAGCTTTTGTAATTCAAAATTTGAATGTGTTCTTTTACCTGGACTCAACTGAAAACTCATTTTTGAACATTAAAAGTTCACCGCATGATTCTATTCTGTTTAGAACCAACCTATAAGAGTGAAGCTGAATCAACTCTTCACGCCCCATATCAGCTCTTGGGGAATGCTATGGCAAAGACAATGACTGCCTTCTGGAAAACTTTAATTCCATATAAAGCAATAAAGTAACTTCAAGACAGATCAGTAACATTGCTTTGCATATGCTTTTAAATATTGCATATATCACATCTGGCACATAATGGCTGAGGTAGTTAGTTAATTGTGCCAACCTGGCCGATAAACACATGTGGGGTTAATTGAAGGGTGGAGAGCCTCGCCTTTCTAGTTCTCAGGTCTCTTGCTTTGTGATGGTCGGACCAGGGTGCAGCTGCCTTAGCCAGTTCCCTG